GCAGAAGGGTGTAGAACATGCTGAATGGGGCACTAAGGACAGAAATATTGCAAGCAACTGGTCACAAGAGAATGTGGTGAACACATATGGAACCAGTTGTTTGATGCAATTCGACAAAAATAGGGGAGAGAGAGAGGGAGATAGAGCCAACAATTTTCATGGAGACTTTGCGGTCGAGTATTGGATAAATATGGATAAATTGTGAGATGGTGTTGGGAGCATCGAAAGCAGTATCATAGAGTCATACAGCACGGGCATTGGATTCACCCTCCCTGCCAAAAGTATCCAAGAGTAGCAAAACTGTGTTGCGAAAAAAAAACATAAGATTCTTGGTAAAGAATCTGGCAATGACAGTATAATCCTGAAAGCCTGAAAGCCTGAAAGGAGTCCTCAGGGAAGTGGCGTCAAAGTGGGTAGTCTTCGAAAAAACATGTTGAAGGAGCAACTTGAAAGAATTGCGCCGCAAAGATGCAGCAGGGAAGGAAATGTTGTCAAGGAAAAGAATGCAGGGACAAGTGTTGAGGAGTGCTGCTGGATGGCATAGTAGAAATCACTGTAAAATCACTGTTGGAAGCGATGTCGCCCTTGCCCTCAGAAACTCTGGGTATCACGATATCAAGTAAAACATGTCCAGAGAACTCAGGTAGCTTTGGCGGCGTTTCATGAATTGCCAACAGGTTTAAAAACATCATGACTCATATGACTCATGACATCATGCCATGACCCTGACTACATACTTAATACTTATATAATCTTATCTAATTACCTTTCCAGGAGTTGACCCATTCAGCCTGTTTGAAGCCGGGCCTCAAAAGCCGCGTAAGGGGTCTCTCGAGTCCACAAAGTGATGTCACAAGAATTGCCCAGTATGAATACGGAGAGTATCGGAGAGTCAAATTTGCGCGGATGATGCAGCGCATGGTATGTCAAAGTTATTCAAAGTTCACATTTCATTTATCTAACAGCCAGTGGCTGATAGTGGCTGGGAAAATCATTGGCGGAACTAGAAAACACCGCAAATCTCCAGTACTACCAGTAGTAGGCACCCTAGGCACCATCATCTTCGTAGCCGCTGGGCACGGGGCGGAAATCGCTGGTGAATCTCTGTCACGGGGTTCCACAGGACATAGCGCACTCCGTAGCAAATTCTACCTGCAGCAACTGAATGATCCAGAAAAGCAACTTGAAACAGTGAATAGGAGAAACTCTCTCTCTCTCTCACTCCATCTTTTCCAGTCTTGCAGCTAACTTGGCCTACAAACTCTCGTCGGTCGCGCCATGGAAAGCCCCACCTTAGTTCCCAGTCCGTTTCTCTCAATGGCGCGGTGAGGTTGTGCGGCTATGCTATATTGTTGTCAAGTGGGACCGCTGGCAGCAGCTGCCCCACCCGATATCGCTTCTCAAGTTTGCACAACAAAACAATTATATACGGGCATCACTCATCATTCGTCCATGTTCTTCCCGTGTTTCATATTTCATCATTTTTCTGCTCCATCATCCATCATCAGCTCCGCTTTCCACATTAAGTTCTTCCTGGCCACATCCCTTGGCGTCCAAAGGGTCGATTGCTGAGATGAGCTTTGCCTCAGCTGAACGATCTCAACGCACCACACTTGGAGGCTCCCCACCAGGCCTGGCAGCACACGGAAGACGGCATCCTGGTGGACATCGCTTGAGAACGGGAATAGAACATATCAAGATATATCAAAATATATCAAGATATATCAAGGTTGTCGCATGGCCAGGGATGTCAAACCTCTGGTTTCTGGAAAAAAATGGAAAACACTCCAATAACTTTCCTCTGAGCGACCTGGGAATTAATTTCCAGCAAGGGATTGTTCTCCCATCAATCCAGCTATAGCATTGGCATGTTGTCACTTGACAGCAGGTCAAGACATGCAATAGGTATTCAATAGATTTCAATAGATAGCACCTCGTGAGTCACTTGTGCTCTCTGGTTGTCATACCTAAGGGCAACTTGAAAAATTGTACAGATTTGCACAATGGGCAACGCCTTTCTGTGCCAATTTTCAATCATGTGATGCGGTTCTCAGTGCCAATCACTAAAGCATCATCTCCAGGAAGCTTGGAATGAACCTGAGACATTTTGTGCAAGCACGTTGAGTCCACAGTCAGCATGTTCCTCCAGCATCCTCTAGCTGAATTGCTTTGTAATTGCACGTTTCATGCTGAACATTCTTCCCCAAAAAACGTTTTCACAAACCGGCTTCATGGAGTTGAGAGCGAGACATACAAACCGCAACTTTCTCCTTGTTATCCCGCTGAAAGGAGCGACTTGCCCGGACTTGCCCGTGCCAAAGCACCCGCTCATATGCTAAGGTAACCCAGGGTATATGACTATGACATGTATCATCAGGATTCAATGGGTACACTATGGTACACTGATTCTACATTCTTGGCTCTCAAGGTTCCAAAGTTCCAAAACATTCCAAAACACGATATTGACCACTATTGTACAGTATCATATTGCACCCCCCCAGAAAGTAGACATATGTCCAATATCAGTTCAGTCCTGGCAGCAGTCGAATGGGTGCTCGCAGACGCAGTGGGGTGTATTTCTGCAAGCAACTTGTGGCTAGAACATGTGATCACAAGTACCAACATATCAAAAATGTGAAGGCTTGAGCATGTCATTGCGCCCTTCTGTGACCAAATTTGCACTTACACAGCGAGGTGTGGCCACAGCTTCCAAGCCTCATAGGAAGGAGGATGCTCAGCCTCATAGAGGCAGTCCTTGGCCAAGATGATCAAAATCTCAAGGCCAACGGCAGTAGATGATACTGGATGTCTCCGGAAGTCTCTGGATTTCGCAGCCACTATGACCTTGCTACAGCATTCTCCGGCCCCTTGTTGCGGAAGCTGAGAATTGTATGAGCATGTGCAGAACGAAAACACAACCTAAACCAGGAACTGTGGCGCCTGCACTCTGTAGGTACCTTGCAACTAAGCTGCACCTTTTGCGGCCCTATGCGGCCCTATGCGGCCCTTTATCCCAGGTACTGAGGGACCTGGCCCATTTGTCTTGCTGGTGCTCCTGCGGCTTGGCAGCTCCGTGGGGGAGGTCCCATGAGGTCCCCTTTGCACCTCTGGCGTGAAATGCGGCAATGCCATCAATGGCATTGCATCCTTTCGGCACCTTGTACATTTTCAATACGTTTTCTACACATGCTCGTTATCCATTTCTTAACACTTCTCATATAATCATTCTGAACCACGATCTTACCATCTGAAACCCTGAATGATGATTGATCATGGCAAATCTAAGATATTCTAAGTTATTTCTGTAGCCGGAGTGCTGGACCTTTGACTGCTTCCCATCTTTCAACCCATATCTTTGAACCCATTTGCGGAGTGTTGCTCCTTCCTCTGATATGATCCTTTCGTCGTCCACACCTCTTCAGGTCCGTTAACAACCCCCCCAGCCCAAGTCAACAAACGAAAACAAACACAGCTTTGGTTTCAGCTGCTGCATGCGTAGGTGGGCATCTGGCTGTCAAAGGACCCAAGTCTCCGCGAACCTAGGTGGGTTTCTCTCACTAGATTTTTGAGGCGGCAGGCTGCGAACAAATGAAAAAGGAGTGACATAGAGACATAAAATTTAGTGCATGAAATACCTCCGGTTTGCAAATTCCTAGACTAACCATGAATCATGGCTCTCTGACAATCACTTTCATGTTTCTGATTTTGTTTTAACAGCATTGGGCTTCTTAGGCCGCTGTGCCACTTTATAATTCGCTGCTTGCGCCCGAGCGACATTGTATGCCATGTGCACTCATCTATGTTTCGCAGAACAAGTTTACCGAACGTCAAGTACAAGCTGATACAAGCTGCCCGAACTCCTGTCAACCTCCCAATACCTCCCACTTGGATCCACTTGGTATCCGATTCTAGATTCTGAATCTTGTATTTGACCAGTAAAGTGTGCACAGCTGAATTGGTCAAAGTTCCATTGGGCACATCAGGCCATTTACTGGCGCAACTGGAGGCTTTTGCATGTCATTCAAATGATTCATCACAAAGACAAACGACAAGCAGCTGCACAGCTGAAACATGGCTTGGAAGCTGAGCTCCAAGCTGCTACAGTAGAGATCACTAGGCACTCCACAGGAACCTCGAAAAAAGAAATGTTGCTGCTGCAGCACGCTGACCCTTTGGCCACTCTAAGGCTTTTACGCCGCCTTCTTCTGGACCCTTGCACTGCACGTCAAACCTAAGAAGCCATGGAACATGTCATGATATCTTCCAAATCTCACGTTGCCCTACAAGGTATTGCACAAGCAGGGTGGCTGCTAACTCAATCAAAATTACTTCTTAAGGCCAGCACATCATGCCGGAGAAAGTGTGATCCTCATGATCTCTAGTGTCTGCTGTGAAACTCTCGTGCACCGTGTGGTTTGCCACCTGCACTGCTGGGATAACCACATCCAACAAAACACAAAACATCGAATCGGAAATAAACAGCCGGTGCTTTAATGCGGCATTCGAATCCTCAGCTGCAGAGAGAGGTGGGGCGGTACCGGTACAAATCTCAAAGCCTGCACATACAAACACACACACACATGTATATAAGTATATATATATAGATGTATATGTATATATACATACATACATACTGTAGTTGAGGGTGTGGGTTGCACAGGTATACAATACATACTTATATAATCTTATATATGATTTAGATACATTTCAATGCATGCACATGTAAACAGGTTTGACAAAAAACACGGTGCACAATAACATAAGTATAATTATTATATAATGCTTTGAATATATGATGCACACACACATGCGCACACACACACACACATATATTCATATAAACATTCGTGTCGAAATTGCTGAGATCACCGTTTACTACAGGTTCTCACTCCTGCTGACATTGTTTCTGTGCATGTCCGGGTCCTTACTTTGAGAATAGATGAGAATAGCTCATATTGGCATCACATTAGCTACATCAGTTCATGGTTGTTTTTGCTTGTTTGGGCCGTCTCGAAACAGCTCCTCTCCCGTAGCCATCATGGATGCGCCTTTGGCCTTCGAAGCACTGCTGGAATGTACCTTGGGCCGCTTGGGGCAGCAGCAAATATCTGACACGGTATCACCAACAAGTACTCCAACCTTCTGGGACTGATACATAATTAGTTTATATATGTTTATATTAATTTATTAAGTCCCGAACGAAGTGCATTTCTTTAAAACGCATAGAATAAATTTGTGTGAGTTTGACTGTAGTTTTCCCAAATATCAAATCCTTGCAACTTTGAACCTCAAATCGGTCCAAATCGATTTCCATAACCTTGGTCATTCTCCTGACTACATTTCCAGAAAATGAATACGCTTCCCAATTGCCTAGAAAGCTCTACCTGACTACATGCTGGGTGTCCGAGGTGGAAATTACATTTTATAAGTAGCGGGTATATTAATCAGATCACACAATTACAGAAGGATACCCAACAGGACAGCATCGCAGGCATGGCAGCACCCAAGCAAATGAGACCCTGGCTCTTCATCTGAGTCTTCTTTCATGACGAGCCGTGCTGCTGGCCGTTCTTACTTCCGGCTGCAGGCTAGGATGGAGGTTGCCAAGCAAAAGGAAACGGCAAGGATTGGCACAGTATTCAAAGTCATGATGCCGCAAGGCCTCAAATACACAGCTTCAAAATGTGAGCAACGCCAGCAGTAAATGTAACAGCATGTAACACCCCCCAGGATACAGTGGCAAACCTCTCTCCTTCTCTCTTTGTGCATTTCAAATGCGGGCATTTCGCTTGGGGTTTTCACTGCAGGACAGCTGTCCTGCCACACCTTCCGCATTGATGGAAGGCTTATAGCTAGTCTATAGTCCATTGTGGAATTCCAATGCGGAACTGCTTCGTGCTGGTCTGACGTCAATTCTCCGTGCACTTCTCCGGGTGTATCCTTGTTTAATGTTTAATCTTGTTTCATCTTGTCTCACATGATGGTTCCACATGGTTCCACATGGCTCGACATTAGGAATGTGACTCATTGTGACTCAGTGATTCAGGACGGTTCAGGTGGCTCTTCTTGAGCCGAGGCCTCTGTACATCTCTGTACTCATCAGCCAATGTGGATTCTACCATTGCCCTTGGCTGAAGTGTAAGCTGCACAGCACTTCACCAGCAGCATCAGCATTGTAAGCTGAGAAACTTTGGTTCAGCCGTTGGCTTTCGCAACGTTTGCACCAAGAAACTGCAGGCTCATGTGGCTGCGGCTTCTGGATCTCCAGAAGCTCCACTTGAAGGTAGACTTTTCATGACTCGAGCCCACAGGAGCTCTCTAGAACAAATTCAGCTTATTTTCAGCTCTCTGAATTCAAGGTGAAAAAAACAGCCCCTCTCTTCGGCCACTCCACAGATTTGGTCGCAGCTCTGGCTGAAGAAGGAAAGCTCAGGAGAGCGCAGCAGCGTCTTACAGCAGCATCTCACCCCATTTTTCACAGGAACGCATATACCTAGGGCTGGTGCAGAGGTGGCATGCTACTGGTCAATCTACCAAGACTGTGTTGCAAAAAAAAATCCCAGAGTGGCGGCTTTGCTTAAAAACCGGAGCACGCGTCACCTACTTTGTTGATGGAGCCGTCATCATTGAACAGCCGCAGGTTGTAGGTGCCTCTCACCAAACAAGGTTTCCAGGAATGTTGGGGATGTGGGAGTATCGGAGTATTCCATAGTCATTCCTGGGGCTTCCTGGGTCATGGCAGTGCTTGATGGCGCGCGAGTCAACACCACTCAGCTACCCTGGCCAAATGTTGCCAGTGCCTCCTTGGCGATCAATGTTAAACCATGAGAAGCTCTTCACGACTGGTCTTCCATCTGAAGTAGTGACGCTGGCAGACAACCTCGTTGATAGCTGCGCCCTTGTGAACAAACAAACTCAAAGAATTCAAACAATCCCAACAGCCAAGCTATGGAATCTATTTGCACAAGAACGATCCTTGTGCTGTAATCAGCACCTGTGCATCTCAACACTACACTATCACTATGAAATGAATCAGTCAGGAGGCTCCACAATCTCCGAAATGAAGGTAGCCGATCCATCTGGCAAATCTTCGTTTGATGGGCAACCTGGACTTTGCCAACGCCAGGCTGCTCACATGCACAACGTACAAGGTAGAAAGAACAGTTTTTTTCCCCATGAGAATGAAAGCAGGAAAGCTGCAGGGAGCTGGGCGCACCAACAAACTGACAAAATTACTCCATGAACAATAGTGTCCCTCTCAGTCGTACAAGGTAGAAAGAACAGTGAATGCTCATGAAGAATCATGAAAGTGCAGAACCGCCCATCATCTGTTTGAAGACCTAGTTTAGCACGTTTAGCTTGTTCACTCACCTGTCTGCTAAACACACCAGAATTAGCCAAGATTCCAAAGTCTGGCACGTCCTTTGCGGGGAACTTGCCGGAGTCTGGCACACAAATCGGATCGTCTGCTGTTGGACCACCACAGTTCAGCATACCGACCTTCCAAGGCGGCAATATGATTGACATTGATTGTGTGAACAAATGGATCCTTGTTCTGGATATCGTTGATTGGTGGTACCTTAGTGCTGGGGGCCGCCGAACCCTAGCAAAGCATAGCATCACGCGGTCGTTTTCCTTTCAGCGGGCGCTTGAGCCACAATGGGCGTTTGTAATGTAGTGATATGTGCATATGAGACATGCACCTAGCGCCTGGTTCCCTTTGACACCCCCCATGTCCGTGGTATTCTTCGAACCACGGACACGAGAGAGGGAACTTTGAATTAGAATGTTTCTGCTACCTGAATTACGCCTATGTACATAAAACATGCCATTCGGCTCCCCCTTCCCCACATACCCGACGGGAATAATGGTTCAGGGTTCGCCTACTCTCTGGCTGTCGATGCATCGGCGTTTCATCAAGCTGTACAACGCGAATTATTGCTAGCTAACATCTACTTTTCTACGTTGGCTAGGCATGCCACTCACCCGACGGGAGAAATGGATCGCTTCGCTACCAAAGATTTACAATGCTAACTAACGAATTCACGTGCACTGTGCAGGATTTCGTGCAGATTGGGAATATCAAAAGTTTCGAACCTAAGCGAATTAGTCTACTGCCTCGCTCAGAGTCCACTCAGTTGGTCTTTTCCTGATCATCTGTTCACAAAGACGATACACATCTTATAGTCCAGTGATCATTTTGACGGACAGAGGTAATCGATTTACTGCTCACGGCGGACTTTCTTCCATTGAGGTGTTGTTGGAGATTTCTCCCATCCTGCCGCACGTTTCGGAGCAGCTTTCGGCGATGAGGGCTTCGCAGGCGGTGCCTTTGATGGTTCTTGGGATCTCGGCATAGCCTTAGCCTTTGGTGCGCTAGCCGATGAGGATGATGCTGAACCAGTGCCTTCAGGTTTCTGTGAAGGTTGTGCTGATGATTTGGCTTTCGCGTCTGCGGTGGCAAGCTTGGAAGCGGCAGTATGTCCGACTGCTTTGAATACTTCACTCACCACTTCGTCGCCAAGAGTTGGAGCCATCTTCATTTTCATCTCGGTCTTTCCCCTCTGCGCCTCTGCCTCAGCCAGTTGAATAGCGTAAGCCATCTTGCTGACTAAGTTTTGAGGTAAAGGAATGCCGCATTGCTGGGCGGCAAAGAGTAGTTCTACTCTCTGTTCCTTCTCTCTCAGACTCAGATATACCGAGAAAGCTGGGAGTTCGATGCAGTTGGGAAAGCCGTGGCTCCCGGAGCGAAAGAAGGTGTATGATTTGTGTTCTGGAAAGGTTCCTTTCAGCAGTCGTCGAAGAAAGTTGCTGATGGTCACTCGCATCTCCTGCTTCCCTTGGGCATCAGCCTGCATTCGGTTCATTGGCATGAGGAAACCTAATGACTCGGGAGTGTACCCGGCGCGTACCAGAAATTCCATCATCTTTTCATAGATCTCCAAAGTCTTGATGACAGGCATCATCAAGTTTCTTGGTCGTCCTGAGTACATCTTCTCTCCCTCTGACCATGAGTTCCTTTTCCCTTTCTCCTGAAAGAGTTCGTCCAACTCCAGCTCTGTCGGTCGCTTGAGGTTGCCATCCTGGTCTTCGCCTGTGTAGGGGCAGAAGTCGTCCAGGTCCAGCCGGACTCGTTTGGTTTCCGTCATCATCTCATAGTACTCCTCTGGGGTCAGAGTGACTCTTTGTTTATAGTAGAGCCTGAACATTGTGATGACCTTTGACATGACGGCATTGTCATACAAGTGAGCCGCGGCCTCGGAGACATCATTGTTGATCAGTCCGTCTTCTGGCATACCCTTGCTGCCGCTCTCAAGATTCTTAGTCCATGCTGGAAGTTTGGAAGAAGGTTCATCTTCAGGTTCGACGTCCATTTCATCGTCGTCTTCCTCAACGATTTCGTCGTCTTCCTGTTGAGTTTCCTCCTCCTGATCCATTTCCTCATCATCGCCTTCATTGTAGTCGACCTCGTCAGGATTGAAACCATAGTCGTTGGATTCGGATACGTTTTCTTGTGCTTGATTGACCGTATCCTTGAACAACGATTCTTCTTGTCGACGAACTTCTTCATCGAGCTCTTTCTTCGTGGCCTCATCTTCATCGTCTTCAGGAGCTTGTAGCCGATATGGACGGATTCCACAACTTTCAAGTTCCGTCCAGCAGACTAGACACACTGCTAGCTTTGTCGGCGTCTCGTTGAGACAGTGAGGACAATGACGGCAACCTGATGTTTGCACCCTTTTGCGTTCGACTATGTAGTCAATCAGCTTGATACGGGCCAGGTATTGCTCTTGTCCGCCAGGCTCGATGAGGTCGTTCTTAAACTGGTTGACGATGTTCATGGCATCCATGGCTGTTTCGTCATACGGTTGGTCTTCGGCGTCGATGCATTGACTTGCAACTCTCAGGATGGACTCCTTGGTGGCTACCGTTCTTGATTTGATAGTTCCAGACCGGACTACCTGGTCGTCGCCCGACGGGACGAACAACCGGAGCCATGTCTTATTGTTTTGGTCCTTGGGGTCCTGAATCCATCCTCCTTTGATTGCCGAGAACGGGATGATCTTTGGTGAAACGATCTGTCCCGAGTCAGTCAGTCGACCGCCATATTCCACCATCAAGGTCTCGGTCGGGATGAACAAGCAAATGTAGTCCCCCTTTCGCGTATCAACGCTCTTCGTGATGGTCCATGATCTGTGATCCCATGGCACATACGGGTTGAAGAACGTGAACATCCGATGACCTTCTCCAAGACCTCCTGGAATTAATCCCTGCCTCCAAATGCTTCGGAGGTTGGTCTTCTTGGTGATGTGAAAACAGACCGGTAATGACAGAATGGTGTTGGGTGCGATTGGATGTGAAAGCAACGAGGACAGCAATGAGACGTCGTCCCTTGAAGATCCTTCTTTGTGCCCCGTAGGAGCACGGACCGCCACAGGGTAGAGCAGTAGACCTTCATCAGCGATGTTCGTGTCCGCATCGACTTTGTTGTCAATGCGCGTCAGGCTGCTGCGATCAATGTCCTTGTTGATCCCAAATGCCAAGACTTGTTCACGCACACGACGTCCGTACCGGGCACAGTGGAACATGATCTTGAAGAGCAATGTCATGCGATAGTTCGCCTCACTGACATTCCATGCATTCTGATCATTTGCTCTTCCTTTTGGGGCAAGGAATACGTGTGGCCAGCGTGCATACTCGTGCCTCCAGATGGACTCACATTTGAGCACCTCCTCGATGGGCACCCAGCCGGCGTCATCACAGGACAGACTCTGCTGCTCTGATACCTTCCCCACGTTGTGCCGCAGGATCCTGTTTAGTGAGGTACTCACCTTGTCCTCGTAGGTGTCGAGCCGGTTGCCGGTTTCGAAGCGGTAGTTGGCCGCATATTCTACACCGCCAAAGTAAGAGCAGTTGAAGAAATGGGCCCCTGTCGTTGGGATGATTTTCAAGAAACCATCTTGCGGCGCCTCGACTCGCTTGTAGAATCCTGATGTTGTTGTCAGAGTAGCTTGCCATGAAGTCTGGCACTGACCAAGTGTCACCTCCTCCTCTGACGATAGCGTCTCGGATCACTTCGTTGAGGTCAACAACGTTCTGTGGTCCTAGCTTTGTAACATCACGTCCTTCTATGCAGAACCTACCGTATTCATCGAGGTCTCCGACTTCGGACATGGTCCTGATGCTGTCGTACCATTGGTGTTCACTAAACCTCGGTTTTGTAGGTTCATCTGTTTGCCCCGAACCTTCAGTAGCACCTGAACCGTCCTTCTTGTGCTCAGGAGGCTCCATATCGACGTCATCAGATGTGGGACTATCAGCCTCGAGCGACGCTCGGACGGCCTTTAGCACCTTTCTGACTTCATCCCTCTTCTCATGTTCACATTCAAGATGACCATGTTTGGTGCTACCACAATACAAGCACACATTGACATCCTCAGAGACGGTAAAGAGTTTTCCCAACGCATCCAAAAGTTGTTGTTTTCCGGAAATCTCTGAGTCCCTGACCACATCGGTGGGATCATTTGCTGGCTCATCAGCTTCCTCCTCCCCAGGGTGAGCCGACGACTCGTCACCTGGCTTGGCATCGGCATCAGCGCCCATGCTGGCGTCATCCCCTGTGATGTTGTTCTTTCTTCGATAATGAGAGAATACCTGATCCTTCTCCCACTCTGTGAGGCAGCAGAAGTTGGCCAGCGATTCATATCCGGGGATTGCGTGGATGATCTTCATGACCCTTTCGGCTTCTGCGGTCTGCAGGGTGCAGTCGAATGATCCCCGTCTCTTGTCATTGATGGTGCTTGTAGTTCTGGAGGTCGATGTGAATTGAGCCAATGCCTTTTCCAATCCGTTGAGGTACTCAGCAGGATCAACACTGGCATTGAAAACATCCACAACTCCTTTGGCCATATTTGCCACATCCAAGACACCAAGCCAGAACTCGATGATATCTCCAGTTTTCTCGGCTGATGCACGGGAGAATCCAAAGATCTCGTTCCTCTCCTTCACCTCGGGAACGGCGACCTTCTCGAAGAAGTCTTTGTATGCGACATTTCCGCAATCCTTCGTGACTCTGTAGATCAAGAGCCACTTCTTCGCGACTTCATCAAAAACTCTTTCGCGATAGATGCTGAATTGCTTGCCGCGTCCGTTCCGGAAAATTTCCAGAGCTTGCCTCTTCGAAATTCTGACTCCTCCCATGTGCGATAGAGACTTCATCAAGTGCTCCCCATACGCCAACGATGCATTTGAAATCAACGAAGACGCAGTAAATGTGAGCCATGTTTGAAATCCTTGATTGATGTCAACAATGTCGACACCAAGATCCTCGAATGCAACCTTCAATCTGGCCGCAAGGAGTAGGACGGACTTCCTGGCCTCCAATGTGGGAGCTGAACGCTTGTAATGGTCTTGGGTGTTGGCAGAGCAATTAATGCAATGGGTCGGTCTCGTCTGACATGTCTCGACCTCATCCATCGTCGCCGCATTTCTGCAGCTTC